GATGGCAGCCAAGGAGTGAGAGATGTGACCAGATCTCAAATTTCCCCTGGGGCTTCCTCATCTGGATTCCCACAGCCAGGGCCTAACAGACCTCCACTAGTGTTCTGGACCCAGCCCCATCCCCTAACTCCCTCACAGCTGATAAAGCAGGCTGAGAGGACACAAACACAGGGTTCAGAGTGGGCAGAGCCAAGTTTCTGAACAGGCTGCTATAGGCTTCATCCGCTCATCAGGCTGACTCACTCCCACAGGCACCTTGCTGTGCCCTGCTCCTTAGATCCTAGCTGGCCAAACTATCACCCACCACTTAAGAGTTCAGTTACCTGCACCCCGGACAGACCTCCAACCTGAAGCTCCTCAAGCCTTCATTGAGTTCCAGTTTCTACTAGAATGATGCTTCTTCAGGAACAAATGCCTCTTCTGAAAGCAACCTGGTACCCGTCCCTCCAACTTACACTGCAGCCACACAGCATCCTCCAATCCAGACTCATCACACATCTGGCAGGGGTGGAGGGACCTTCCCAGCGGTTCACCTCAGCTACTACACAAGTGTGCAAAACAGCTGAGCCTCGGAAGCCCTCTCCCAGACAAAAGGCTAAGACCTCAACTGGGTTAAAGAGCCCTGAGCATAACAATTACAGTTGAAACAAGAAGGGTCCAAGCTGCCAGCCACAGGGTACACCTCAGCACCGCCTTTATAGTTCCTTCCCACCCCAGAGCAGTGTGAGAAGTATGACTCCAAGCCCCTGTTAGACCAACCCCAGTCAACAAAGCGGTCCCAGGACTTGGCCCTTGTGGCCCCCTCCACAGAAACCATCTTTTCCGGCAACTCCTCCTACAGCTCTTTCCAACACTAGAGTGAAAGAACCCTGTCTGATTTATGGGGGCTGCCTACCACCAGCCATCGTGTGAATAATAAGACCCTGTTTCTTTAAACTTGAGAGAAGATGCTTAAGCAATTTTTTTTTTTTAAACAAGATCCTTCCCCTGGAAACTCCTGGATATAAAAGACCCTAGAAGGGGTTTATGAAAATATTCTAGACCTTGCTGAAGGGGAGTTAATCATGGGGTAGGGTAGTAAGGTGGCTTGGTCAGTCTAATCCCCTCAATGATCCCGATGATCGACTACTCATGTCCCCAGTCATGAGCCACAGCCCATGCTAGGGACCTTTCATACACAATACCATACCCGGAATCCCCACTTTCACCATTCAGTCCTGCACGCCACATGTGCCCAAGTCTTCCTTGGACACGTAAAAAGGCTGGTTCTAGCCTGAGGTGAATTGTGGGGGGCGGGGAGAGGGGGGTCTTTGCCTACTGTCCTAGGCTCACACTTGAACACCTCTTCTGTGGTCTTATAATTTTAAGGAGGTTCAGTTTCCTCCTGTAGCTGCAAGAAGCCTGTCTGGGACTTAAGGAATGGTCTCCTCCTCCCTTGCACGTCAATGAAGCACCATGGCGTGCTGGGACGTCTACACACATAGATGGTCACATGGTTCCCAGTCAGCCCTACACAGACTGTCCCATAGTGTTTAGCCTGGAGATTCCTAATAGTATTTTTGAAGGCAGAAATTCTAGCACCTGGTGGTGGGGGCACATATCTTTAACCCTAGCACTGAGGAGGCAGAGGTATGCGAATCTGAGCTGGAAGTCAGCCTGGACTACATAGCAAGTTCCAAGACAGCCAGAGCTGCACAGGGAAACTCTGTCTCAGAAACAAATAAAACAAAAAGGAAAATTCCAGCTTCTACAGCTGAGTCTGGCACATTGCCAAGCGGAGAAAGGCTGGCCAGAGGGCCAGAGGCTGTCATGCAGATCACAAAGATGGGTTACAGCTATTCCTTCCAGAAACCAGAGGAGCCTGGAAAACACTCCTCTTTGGGCTTCTTGCAGTGACCTTTAGGTCCTTTGCTGTCCCATGAGACCAATGCCCCAGGAGTTAGGCACATCTGCAATTGCCAGGACAGCAGCTGCTTTCCACCTCCCAACTCAAGGCTCTCTGAGACTCTTAGAGCTCTCCTCTCCTCACCCCACCCACACACACTCACCTCAGCCTCTGGGGCAGCAGGTGAGATTGCCGAGACAACCCTCCCTTTATCCGGCAGCAAAACCATCCCTCACGAAGAGTGCTGACGGCTGCTGTCATTTCATCTGAGAACATTCACAGCAATCCCAAATCCAGAGAAAAGTGAGAGTAAGAGAGGAGAGGGGTGTGTGTGTGTGTGTGTGTGTGTGTGTGTGTGTG